AGTGAACCAGTTGACAAGAGCGGAGGGTCTGACCCAGGGGTTGGCAACCCCCCTGGCGCATGTGCCAGAGCATGGCATATGAGATCATTTTATTCCACGTACCACAGCCAGCCCAGGCTCTGGCCATGGAGCTTGGGTTGCTCATAGCAGGTGGCCGGGAGGCTGCAAGCCCTCCTGCAAGGAGCTCGGGCTACGTGGCTGGCAGCAGCTGCCCAGAGCCCAGGCCAGCTGCAGCCGGGAGGCCGCAAACAACTGCACCGGACTTCAGAGCGCCGGCCATGGTCTGTGGTGGTGGCGGGTGGCCAGAATTGCACTGTCCCAGACCCCTCCCCTGCCGTCTGCCCGGAGGCATGTGTGCAGCTGCCACCATTACAAAGCCCAGGCTGTGGGCAGCTGCAGCAGGCAGTGGGCAGGCTGCAAAAAGCTGCACCGGCACCAGCTCCACTCTGGTAGCAACTGCATGCATGCCTAGGGACCCAGGGTGGGGAAGGGGCTGGGGCAGCATAACCCCGGCCCCTCCCCAACCATCTGCCCAGAGGCACATGTGTTGCCACTGCCAGCAGCGAGTATTGGGCCCCTCTTGGCTCCCCTGCGTTCTGCCCTTGGCATGCCAAGTCGAGGCATGAAGGGGGTTTGGAGGGTTTTTGGCACTCCAGCCAAAAATGTTGTTGATGGGGCTTGGAGTGTTTTTGGCACTCCAGCCAAAAATGTTGTTGATCCCTGATCTGACCTGTTATATCCCTTTTGGCTCTAAGGAGAAGATGTGAGCTGGAGACATTCTGTGCCTTTACGTGTTTCTAGCTAGGATTTCAACTTCCTGCAGCTCTGCTGACGTGCTGAAGGTGTAGGCAAACGGCTGCCCGCTCTCAGAGCAACATGGAGCCTGCTGTGATTACCATTGCTCCTGACAACGTTCATGACTTCTTCCTTCCCTCTTTTATTCCATCCCCTACATTCAAAAGCTTCTCCCTCACCCTTCACCTTTGGGAGGGAAGTCTCCTTGAACCCATTCCCTTCTCCAGTAAAAGATCAAACACAACTTACTCTGAAAGTCGACAGGTCCCATTCTGCAACCCTTCACTAAGAAAAGTGAGATCAATAGGACTTTTGCTCAGAAAACCTCTGCAGAACTTGGCCCTACAGATTTGAATCTCCTTTACTGCCATTCTTCATTCACAGTATCTTCTCTACAAGGAAATCATGCTTGTATCTCTGTGTTATTTTCTGTGCCAAAGGTAATAAGCCAACCTTTAGTATCATAATTTGGGGTCCTTGCCAATTTTCAGGGACAAAGGAAAGTAAAATAAATCCATCATATAAGTCGTTCATATGAATCAAAGATCAATTTATGAAACTGCGATCAAAATAGAGAAAGTCAGCATTGTTCAAGGGTCACTGGGCCATTAATATTTGATGGGAGCAAGCATAATGAGAAACTGTACAGATTGCTTCAAGCAAGTAAGAGCTTGAATGAATTCTAATCCCTTATCTTCCTTGTCTTGATTTTATTTTTCTCTCATTCTTCGTGTTAGTCAGAGAAAGATGAGCAACATCTAAACTTTATGGCATATTGCCAATCTTCATTGTGTAGTAGAAAATAAATTATTCCAATAAACTGAGTTTCATGGCAATTCCTTCATATTTGTACCTCTCGTTGTAATGGTTCACAGGCATGGTGAAACAACAAGCAGGTTCAAGTGTCAGATGAATTCTTTAGGATGCTAAAGAGTATTTGTCTTGCTGTTTTGCTACCTAGGTGTCATACATGTCTTCATTTGAATCAATTCTTACAATAAAATAAGATTAATCCTTATACAGATTAACCCAGATCAATACAATATGATAAACAGATTAATTGTTTGTTACCAGTAAAGAAGAAAGTTTGGTTTTTACACAGGGCCTTCAGCATATAATGTCAACCGTCTGTAACTGCAGTCAGCTGTTTCATTAGATCCTTGCAATTGCTATTGACTTAATCATGCCATAACATAAAATTTGCAAAGCAATTAGTCCATTTCAGCTTCTCTCTTGGAGAAAACACTTTGTTCACTGACCAGAAAGGTTATAATCCTAATAGTAACGGTGTGAATGCAAACACTGAACTTTCACTGATTCCTAATCACATAGCCAAAGTTACACATTAGGATTAGATTTGGATTAATCAAATGAACGACTGACCAGAATTTTTGTTGACATTACAATAGTTTGAAAAAAAGCATAAATTCAGCAGCATTGCAAACTTTGCTAAATAGAAAAGAGGCAACATTTGTTTGGTCAGACGAACGGTTATTTGCTCAGCTTTTCACAGCAGCAACTATAAATCCCATGATTTTATTCATTTATTTATTTGCCAATTCAGGCTCAAAGGTATGTTTATCTGGAGCTGCGTATTTAAAATCCCCAACCAGATGATCTTCCAAAACAGAAAGCTGTATTTCGTAGTAATCTTAATTTGCTTGTTATTTTATTTTGGGCGATGCAAAGGATAAAGAAAACAATAAAAATCCACCTTAGCTAGTATGTCACAGTCCTTTATCTAAGTAACTAGTAACGTGGAAATTGCTTTTTAATGTGCTAGTTATTACAAAGATCATTAATATGAAGGAACCAGTTAGAGTAACTGGTACTTTTCAGCTGTGCATGTCTTTTGATTACAAAACCCTTTTGATCTGGCCACTTCTTTATCTGCTAAAATAGAGGGAATAGTGCAGATATTAAATTATCTCTCTGAAGAACATGCAATCCCTTTCAAAACCACAAATGGACCCCTGCTTTTTATTAATGCAATCAACTGCAATAACATATTTCCTCTTAACGTTCCTTTTAGTTATTTGGGTCTTTCATCGCAAAGAAAGGTAATTAAAAAGCAGCCAAATTATACATTGTTCTAAATTCAGTCTCTCTGGGGAAAGAGATGAAATAAAGAAGCTTAATTTTTTATAATAAAACCTATCGGTGAGACCCACTGGTGCCAAGGTCTATCATTAGGAAAGAGCCTGTGAATTTTCTGATACTAAGCCTCTCTCTTCTCGGCAGCCTGGCTGAAGAAGCAGCCGAGTTAAGAAACACGTGCTGTGTAAAGAGGAGAAGCCGCGCTCTCCCTCCTGCAGTCTGGGATGTCGTAGTCTATTTTTCAGATCAGTGAATAATGATGTGCTGTTTCTTTTCAAGGGAATCAGGGATCGGGAGGGCAAAGTTGCTAATTGCAAAGTGTCAGCCAGCCATTTTGCAGCTGAGTGGACCAGCAGAATCGTGCTAATGGACAAACTCCTTGTTGAGTCTACGGACGGTCTGTGCAAACGAAGCACGTTGCCATTTGTGCTGAGTCAGGGGTCCTGTGGAGTTACACAGCATTTTACGCATAGCAACAGATTGCAGCTTCCTTCTGGCCCAGCACCATGCCCCTTCTCAGTTTCCTTCTTTGAGGGTCAAATTAGACCAGGGGCGGGCAATTATTTCGGGCGGAGGGCTGCTTACTGAGTTTTGGCAAGCCATCGAGGGCCACATGACAGGCAGCCAGGGGCAGATAAATATTAACTTTCTACATTTTTTAGGGGTCTTGAGGGCTGGAGAGAATGGCCTGGTGGGCTGCATTTTGCCTAGCCCTGAATTAGACAATATTGGATGCTCTCCAAGGCAAGATTGCTTTTTTCTTCCTTCTGGAGATGTTAATATTGACTTGACTTTTCAAAAATAATAATTAGCGAATTTGCCTTGCACAAAATTCTTTGGATTATGCATTTGCCTTTAGCAAAGATATTATTAAAAACATTTTTTATTTTAATTTTTTTTGCCTTCTTGCAAAAATAGAGAAACACCTGAAACCTGGGTGTGGTACTGGTGATGGCCCTTTTGCTGCAGTAAAAAAACTTGCTTGATTGTAACACTGTTGCTCTCATCCATGGATAACAAAGCTGATGTATCCATTAGGGTCCCTCTTAACAAACCAATGAAGAGCAGGCAAAGTTCCCGGGAGATACATAAACATGAAAACCGATTAGGAGGATGAACGTTGAACTGGGGATCCATATTCCTAAAGAAGTTCTGCACCCTCACATCCCATTATAGAGTGTGCATTAAAAAAAACAGTGAAGTCTTTGTGTGTCCTTTATTATATGTAACTATTATATTTTATACATATTTGTACATTTTATATTTCTTATCTTATTTATATCTATAAATATTATATCTTAGTTGTTATTTATTATATGTAACTATATTTTATACCTATTTATACATTTTATATTTCTTATTCTATTTATATCTATAAATGTTATATCTTAGTTGTCCTTTATTATATGTAACTATTATATTTTATACCTATTTATACATTTTAGAGCTTATTCTATTTATATCTATAAATATTATATCTTAGTTGTCCTTTATTATATGTAACTATTATATTTTATACCTATTTATACATTTTAGAGCTCTTATTCTATTTATATTTATAAATATTATATTTTAGTTGTCCTTTATTATATGTAACTATTATATTTACAATTATTATATGTAACTATTATATGACGGCACTATAATTGTAAAGCATG